CAATTGCATGACCTGCGGCTCTCTCGTGCGCTGGCCACGCGAGCTGAAGGTCTTCAAATGCACAGTCTGTGTAACCATCAATGACATCCACCCGGACCAGCTACCCTCCAGATCCAACAGCGGCCCCAAATGGCTACAGCGCCCGTCTCAAGAGTCGACGTCGCCTCAGAAACAGACCACACGCCCGGCAGAACGATATGAGACCAGGCCTATTTCACTCGACCAGACCAAGAGACTGATCCGGCAATCCATCCATGCACATCTGGCGAGGGCGATTAGGAGGTCCTCGAGCTCAGAGGATGAACACCGCGAGGTCGCCGCCGAGAGGCACGCAACCCCCAGTCCGTTTCGGGAACAGACTGAACGGCCCTGTACTTCGAGAACGACAGGAGGTCCACAGCACAGGCGGGAGAGAAGCCAAGGCAATGGCTCTGGCTACCTCTTCCCCGAGCAGCCTACGCTTCGCCCAAATCCCAACGTGCATCCGCTGCGTCTACCCCCGACGGCCCGGTCATTTTCGTCTTCTTACCCCGAGAGGCCCTCCATGCGCCAGCTCACGGCAGACGCCAGTGCTCCACGGCCGGCGGGTCCCAGATTCTCAGATGCCGATGACCCAAAGAGGATATTTAGGCCGCTTGAAGACTACATTACCACCTGCTTCAGTTCATTCCACTGCGTCAACTCTTCGTTCCTTTCTCGTCGGCCTGTCGTAGCCACTCGCTCAGGGAGTGAGTCGGCATCGCGGCGGCCCCCTGTCCCCAGACCCGAGCCTAAGTTCGCAGAGCAGCATTCCGAATCTCCCGTGTGTGATCTCGACCCTAAGCTTCTGTTGCTTGGTGACTTCGCCGAGAACGGGACGTGGTGGACTGGGAACCAAAGTCAGGGAGGGACACGCCACAAGCGATCGGCCTCACAGCGGATGGAGGATGCCCCTTCCTTCATCACGTCTCGCTCGCCGCAGGTGGAATGGAATCAAGTCACAGAGTGGTACAGATCGGTGATCAATGCTGCGGAATCATGGATGTCCATTTATGAGGAGATAACCCGAGATTCGGAGGCAGACCCTTTATCGGCAACAGAGCTCCGAGCCATCGAGTCCCAATTACTCTTCGGCCAAGACCATACCCACAGGACCCTATTGAAAGCCATTGAAACACTACTCAAGCGTCCTGGGCGGCCGATGACTGATCCAGAAGACCTGAGATATCTTCTCATCATCTTGGAGAACCCGCTGCTCTACGGGGAGTCGAATGCCTTCCAAGGCCGAGGAAGCAATGACAGGCGTCCATCGCTGAAACGCGATGAGATCATTAGGGAAGACAGATCGACCTTGAAAACCGGACCCGTATCCGGACAACATTCCGTCATTATCAAGCGGATCCTGGGCTTGATTTCGAATTCATCGACTTCATGCCAGAACCACTTAACCACTTGGTTCGCGCGGTATTCGGAGGCCAGATTCATCAAGATCAAAGACCTTGCCGCTGGGTTTCTAACTTACAGACTCATTCGCCAGAATGAGAAGAAACACGAGGTCAGAGTTGACATAACAGCCGGGCTGATTCCGAACATGAGTGCCGGGCATTCAGCAGCCTCGCTGCACGCAGCGCTAGGAACGCAGCGTAGCTCCTCAAAGCAACAGAAGGAGCAACAAAAGAAGATGGTATATAATGAAGACTGGCAAATCCGGGCCGCCGCCAGAGTTCTCTCTCTAGTGTTTGCGGCAAATAATATGACGCACATTCGGCGCCCGGATCAGACGGGAAATATGAGTAGCAGTACTCACAGAGGAGGCATACAGGCACATGGACAAATCATTCCTACGAGTGACTTTTACAACACCATGATTGACTACACCGACTTGGTAGCCGAGTTCGAAGCATGGGAATCGAAGAGGGGAAAGTTCTCGTTCTGCCAGTATCCGTTTCTGTTGAGCATGTGGGCCAAGTCCCAGATCCTGGAGCACGACGCACGAAGGCAACAGATGACCAAGGCCCGGGACGCCTTTTTCGACAGCATCATGACAAGGAGGAACGTTACACAATTCTTGGTGCTTGATGTTCGAAGAGAGTGCCTGGTTGACGACAGTTTGAAGGCTGTGAGCGAAGTCATTGGAAGCGGGAGCGAAGACATCAAGAAGGGGTTACGCATCGTTTTCAAAGGCGAGGAGGGGCTCGACGCCGGTGGCTTGAAGAAAGAATGGTTTCTTCTCCTCGTGCGTGAAGTGTTCAACCCCGAGCATGGTACGTATCAGTCTGCGTCAGGTCTGAGTCTGTTTTTAACACTTCATTACAGGCATGTTTATCTACGACGAGGACTCTCAGTTCTGCTATTTCAACCCCAACGCCTTTGAGACTTCTGACCAGTTCTTCCTGGTTGGCGTTGTCATGGGTCTGGCCATATACAACTCCACCATCCTCGACGTGGCACTGCCGCCTTTTGCATTCCGAAAGCTTCTTGCTTCCGCCCCTAGTTCGTCGTCAGGCCCATCTGCCCATCCTCGGCCTACCATGAACTACACGCTAGAAGATCTGGCAGAGTATCGCCCGCGTTTAGCTAGTGGCCTCAAACAACTTCTTGAGTATGACGGTGACGTTGAGGCGACTTTCCAGCTGGACTTCGTTGTGGACATTGAGAAGTACGGAACTGTGATGCAGGTCCCGCTCTGCCCGGGAGGAGAGAGGAAGCCAGTCACGAATGCAAACAGAGCAGAGTACGTCACATTATACGTCAGGTACCTGCTCGAGACGGCGGTCGCCCGACAGTTTGAGCCCTTCAAACGTGGGTTTTACACTGTGTGTGGCGGCAACGCTCTGTCGCTGTTTCGACCTGAGGAGATTGAACTGCTTGTTCGAGGCTCAGATACGGCACTCGACGTGGACGCCCTGAGGGGCGTGGCTGAGTACGACAACTGGGGTTCGAAGAACCCTGATGGGGTAGAGCCAGTCATAGGATGGTTCTGGGATGCCTTCAAGAATGCAACTCCTGATGAGCAGAGGAAGCTTCTCTCCTTCATCACCGGTACGGACAGAGTGCCGGCCATGGGTGCTGCTCTTCTTCCGATCAAGATTACGTGTCTAGGCGATGATGAGAACAGGTATCCCATCGCTCGAACATGCTTCAATATGCTGGCCCTGCGCCGTTATGGGTCAAGGGAGAGACTAGAGCACATGCTATGGACCGCCGTGCACGAGAGCGAAGGCTTTGGTTTGAAATAAGCGTATCATGTGTCAAATGAGCTACAGGGAGCATCGATATCGGAGTTTACAGAAAGACAAACCGCAGCCCTGCAAAGGGTAGCAGCATGCATCTAGACGGTATGGCTGGCAGATTCACAACGACCTACAGCTTGTTGGTCTTTCTTCGGTGGTGGGCGGCGTCAAGGTTTTGGATGAACATGGGCGATAAGCCCGTGGCTAGTTTTTAAAGGAAAAGATTTTGTTTCGTTTCCAACCATAATTGCAGTTGACAGCATTCAGTGCCTCCCAAGCTTGCATTTGTGATCACGACTAGGACTTGGTCAAGTAGCCCATCAAGTCAGCCGACCGGTCAGAATACAACCCAGAGCATTTCTCATTCTGCAGAGATTCTTTTTGGTACATTTTGTACAGGATATTCATACACTTTTTTCGGTTTCTTCTCCACGCCCGCCCTCGTACATACTTTTTTTGTTCTGCCTCCCCCCCTCCATCTCCTTATCATCCATTAGCTAGACTCAGCACGCGCCCTGGCAAGCATAGCCTTCTCCCTCCTCTCCTCCTCGAGGATCTTGGCCACCCGCTTCCGATCCTTGTCACCCTTGGCCTTCAGCTCTTCAACGGCCTTCATATCCGCCTCGTCCTCGGGACCGGGAAGCACGGCCTCGGCCTTTGTCTCTTGGAGGAAGTGCTCGTAGATTTCCTCCGAGTGCTTGTTCTTCATGTCGATCTTGACGACGCGCTCGAGCCCTTCGAGGGGCGCGGGGGCTTTGGAATTGTCGATTGCCGAGGAGGAGGGTTGCGGGAGGGTGGAGGGTTCGAGTGGTTCGCCCGAGGTGGAGAAGTAGACGGACATTATGGCGGCGCCTTCGTTGTTGTTTTTGCGGTTTACAATCATGGGGACGGCGGGGTTGTAGTATTTTAGGCGGGGGAGCATGTCGCGCCAGAATTTCCTGTGGATGATTGGAAAAGAAGTGGTTAGTTTGGTATTCCTTGAGGAGAGGTGGTGAGGCTCTCGCAGAGGAGGGCAGACGAACTTGGGTCCGAAGTGGCCGCCATCTACGCGCCTGGCGAACTCCATGTGTATCCTCGTCACATTTGGAGGCAGTTTTGCGGCGCCGAGGCCGAAGCGGATGTTGAGGATCTGGCGGGTGTCAATTGAAGCTATTCCTGGGAGCTATGTCGGGGGTGTAGGTCTCGAGCGGGATGTAAGTACCTTCTGTTCACCAGCAAGTTAGCTTTCTAAGTTCGTCATGAACAATTCAATGGCCTAAGGAAACCTACAGCTCGTAGAGCGTGCCATCTCTGTCCTACACGAGTCATCTTGGCGGTAGTCTCTTCAGGGTATCTTAAAACTGCACTTCACACCAGGCACTTCTCGATGTCAGTCGCGTGGTCGGGAGTCTGAAAATTGCCCGCGACCCTTGGATTTTTCGGGACGGGGGCAAATGATTGTCCGGCGATAAGGGATGCTGGAACTCTTATCGGGGTAGCTCGGACGTTGATCGTCCCCAAAATTTCTAGAATTTCCTAGGTGCTTGTCTAGTCGAAAAGCTGCCAGGACCCCCAAAAGTCCTGAAGCTAACACCCAATCTACGACATTCGTTTCTTGATGCTTTTGCGACGATGCATCGCGCCTTGTCTTCGAGATGGCTCAGGAGTGCCATGAGTATTGGGGACCGGGCCGCCTTGGGTGAAGTTCCGGTCTACCTCTGTCCATCCCTCACCACCGCGTCTGCGCGACACTGCTTTGCGCCGGCTGGAGATGCGCACCGCAACCTTCCCTACAGACAGCGACGCTGTATGCACGTCGAGGCGACTACGATATCCGAACCGGCAGCGGCGGCCCCGTTACCTCCTGCTGACGAATCGACCAAGATCCCACGGAGAACCCTTCCGCTATCATGTAGTGGCTGCGGCGCATTGAGCCAAACGACGGAGGCCGGGCATGCTGGGTACTACGACCTGAGCAGGAAAGCCGTGAAGGAGTATCTCGCGCCTAAGGGTATCATGGAAGATGCGGAAATGGAGGCGCGGGAGGAAGACAAGGTCATTGATGAGGTCCTGCAGAAGATGAGCGAGGAACAGCTGGCTCAACTTGGCTTGGACCCGAAGACGCTGCGTTTTGGGGAGGAACTGGGTTCAGACGTTACAAGTGCGTATTCTACTGTTGTGCTGCGTCTACCGTAGATGCTAATAAATTGCAGCAGCATCAGGTCCCAAACCAAAGAGAGTACCGCTCTGCGACCGATGCCACAAGCTGGTGCACCACCATGCCGGAGAGCCAATCTACCACCCGACGGTCGACGCCCTGCGCGAGACGATCGAGGAGTCCCCCTTCAAGAATAACCATATATACCACGTAATCGACGCCGCCGATTTCCCAATGTCGTTCATTCCGAAGCTGCACCAAGTCCTCGACGCCAACTTGAAGCACAAAAACCGTAGGAACAGGGCTGGGAGATACTTCAAAGATCGCAAGTTCGACATGAGCTTCATCATCACACGGTCGGATCTGCTGGCGCCGAAGAAGGAGCAGGTGGACTCGCTCATGCCGTACCTGAGAGAGGTTCTGCGTCGGTCGCTGGGCAAGTTTGGACAGCTCATCAGACTGGGCAACGTCAAGTGCGTCAGCGCCCAGCGAGGGTGGTGGACCAAGTCGCTCAAGGAGGAGATTTACAAGCGTGGCGGTGCGGGCTGGATGGTTGGCAAGGTCAATGTTGGAAAGAGTCAACTGTTTGACTCGGTATTCCCAAAGGGCACTTCGGCATCTCTCCCATCAAAGAACCCTGTGCAGATCTCCTTATTTGCAAAGGAGGAGGATAGCGACGGCGCCCACTATGCTGCGAGGGGAAACTTTGAGAACGACTCAGATCGTTTCGAACTGGATGCTTTGCTGCCTCCTGCTCGTCCCGAAACAGATTATCCGGAGATGCCTACGGTCTCCTCTCTTCCAGGCACGACGGCTTCTCCTATTCGAATTCCTTTTGGCAATGGCAAGGGTGAGCTGATTGATCTACCTGGAGTGGCTAGATCGGATCTCGAGAGATACGTCAAGCCTGAGCACCGCCAGGATCTCATCATGCACCACCGAATCAAGCCCGAACAGCAATCCCTAAAACCTGGTCAGTCCCTCCTGCTCGGAAGCCTGATCCGCATCACGCCCACGACGCCGGACCTCGTCTTCCTCGCCTACAACTTCACCCCTATTCCCGAACACGCGACATCCACGGCGAAGGCCATCGAGTTCCAGCAGCAGACGAGGGAATCCGATCGCGTGCCCAATATCGCCGCCCCCGGTATTGCCGAGAAGCTCAAGCTCGCGGGCTCTTTTGAGCTCAAGTACGACGTGACCAAGGAACGCGCGGGACCCCTCACCCGCAAGGACGTCGGCCGTAGAAAGGTCGAGGACCTCCCCTGGCGCGTGGTGGCCACCGATATCCTCATCGAGGGGTGCGGATGGGTCGAGATTGTGGCGCAGGTGCGGACCAAAGACCTGTTTGCCGGCTGCGCGCCGTCCCTGATGGAGGAGGAACCTGAACCCGAGCCCGAACTCGAGGTCGAGCCTGAGCCTGTGGATGGCTTCGCCAAAATGGAGCTGGCCTCAATCGACCAGGCCGGCCCACCCAAGGTCGAGAAGCAGAAGAAGAAGGAGGAGGAGAAGCCCGCGAAACCCGCCCGGAACCCCGACGAGCCCAACTGGCCCGTCGTCGAAGTCTGGACGCCCGAGGGCAGGTTCGTCGGCACTCGTCTGCCGATGAACGCGTGGCTTCTGAATAAGTCCCCCAAGAAGGAGATGAAGAGCCGTCCGCGCAAGAGCATGAAGGGCGCGAAGAAGGCGGCTAAGGCTGCCAAGAGAGCTCTTGCAGCGGATGCTTGAATGGTCTTGTAACATCTCCCCCCAACACAAACACATACTATGTACACCATCTGTAGAATATTTGCATGCGATACCCATATGTAAACACCATGTAATAATAACAAGAATCTACCATTCACTACACACATTCACTACACAACCCTTCTATATAGGTCTACTATATAAATCTCGCTAATAGTATCCTATCTAATACTTCCGTTAGTATATACGTCTCCGGGCGGTGTTTCCCCTACCTCTAATCTTCTCTCCTATCTCTAGGCTCCTCTCCCATCTCTAAGCTTCTCCTCCGTCTCTAAGCTCCTCCCCCGTCTCTAGTCTTTCTCTAACTCCTATATTATTTTGAAACCATTCGTAGGCGAATATGTGGAAAACAGGGTCGGATAGATATAAAATGTGTTACGGCCCCTTAGGAAGGTATGCCCGTAGGTATTGACGCCATTTAGCAGTTGATGGATACAGGCGTTGCTGATTTCGGATGTACAACACTGATGACCTGGACATTTCCTTAAACCACTTTACGCGTGAACAATGCGCGACATAGCATCAAGCCTGTCGAGCCGTGTAATGACTAAAGCTTGAAAGTCATCTGGAGTGTTATTTCTCGGTTGTCCATTGTTCGAGTTACCGAATGACATTGTGCGCGTTTGTACCACCGGGAGCAGCGGGTAGGGGGTGCGTCGTAAACCAGCACGCAAGCACTGATTGTGGTTAGCAATCGGCAAAGGGAGGGGTATAGGAAGAGGAATACAAACCTTCTGGACTATATTCATTATGGAATACTGCGCGAGACACCAATACTTAAGGCAAAAAGAATACTTTGAGAGGAGCTGAAAATATCTGTCTTGGCAAGCACTTTATTCAATGTCGCCTTCCCAGTGTCTCTGGAATGTGAGTTACACCGGTACCTTGATCGTGACTTGTCGTGCTTGCAGCTGCTTGAGGAAGAGAAGAGTGGGAGGTTGGACGTGGGTGGGTAGGTGGGTTGATATAGGTATCAGACCTGTGCCAGGATCAGTAAGGTACGTAGCAGGATAGCAAAAAGTATAGGAAGGTGGCAGGTCAGAGAGGTAGCAGACCAAGAATGGCAGGAAGGTTGCAAGACAGCAAGGCAGCAGGATCAATAGAATCAGTTAAGTACGTAGCAGGGCAGCAAGGTAGCAGGACCACTCTTGCTCCCCCCTTTCTCGCCCCTTCCAAAGCACTGGCCATTCCCACAAACCAACTTACGCATGGGAAATGCGCGGCGTGTCATGAGCCTTGGATACAGTCGAAGTGTGACGGAGTGGTTGAGCTGTTGACAGTGGCCGACACCCGGGACCGTTTGGATCACCGAATCCGGAACCTTCTCGCCGCGCCGGTGCGTCCCTGGAATTGACTGGCCCGGCCGTGGCTCCGGCTCTTGGCCGTCTGTGGGTTGTGGATCTTCAGGGAATGACGTGGGGTTGGTAGCACTGAATCGCCTAGGTCATGCCCAGGCTGTACCTGAATAATCGGGGGTTTCCATGTTTGGCCTGTGACCGTCGCCCGCATGCTTTCCCGCCCCTCCAGGGGGGGAAAAAAATAAGGATCTAGAAAGCATCCCACCCTGTTTGCCTTCCTCCAAACTTACAAATAGGCAAATCCCTACGGACACACGAACCCCTGAATATCCTCGATCTTCCCGCCGGGTAACGAATCAGTACGCAACAGACTCTCCAGCACGCACGACAGCTACAGATTTGCGACTGCATCAAGTCTTACCATTCGAGAAGTTCCAGCAACTTTTACAAGATCGGGGGTTCATCGGTGTGAGAAGCGCCCCCGCGAAGAAGAAGTGACTGCATCGGCAGCACACGACCACACCAAACATTGCCACCCTTCGACTTCGCATAACCTGCTTGCACCAAATTTCCCACCACAATGGCGGGCCTACAAGATCGCTTGCCGCAGCGGTCGGCACCAGGTCCCTCACAGACCCAGACAGAAACGCAGAGCAGGACGGGTACGCAGGCGATCCTGCGGCTGAGAGGTGCCCACGCTCCATCTAGGCAGTCGGTGCGATGGGCGGAAGACGTGGTGGATAACGAGGGCCTGGGACGCAAGAGCTCAAAAGGTGAGTTGACCTCGCCCTGTCATCTAGTCACATATATGACCGACTAACGTAACTTCACAGTCTGCTGCATCTACCACCGCCCCAAAGGCGTAGACGAGTCCAGCGACGAGTCCTCCTCGGACTCCTCTGACGACTCTTCCGGCTCGGAGGCGGACACCAACGGCGGGCGTAGGAGGGTACCCTCGGGAGACCACAAGGGTAAGGGCAAAGGCAAGAAGAGCGGCAAGCGAGGAGACCATGACCACGACTGCGACGACCACGATCACGACCACAGCGGCCACGGGCATGGGAGGAAGGCTAATCGCGAGGGGAGCGAGAAGAGGCGGCCTAGCCCGAATGCGTATGAGAGGGTGCCGAAGCCGCCTAAGCCCAAGGATGAGGGGAGCAGTGGTTCGCCGGCCAAGGCTTGAGTGGAGGGAGCACAAGCTGGAGAGCATGAGATGGTTGATTTATGATTGGCGATGCATATTTTAGGCGTTGAAGTGGATTGGTGCATGGTTCACGGATGAGCATATCTACGGCCCCTAGTGGGTGCGACGGGCGGCAGCACGAATACAAGATGTTTTACAAGTATAGATAGTGATTCTCTGCTCACCCAGTGTGGGACCTTTGACATATGATATGACAAAAAACGGCTGCAGAGACGGATGATCGATCTGTTAATCCTATTCGAGTGCTGAGCCTCGTCGCTGGAGTCCCTCCTTTCGCGGACCCGGAGGAGAGCGGTGTGTCCCCGCACTGAGTGCGCCGGCGGCGGCCGTGGGGGGACCAGCTCTCGCACGCCCGGGCACAACGCGCTGAGATCTTATCGCTGCGATAAGTTAAGGACCCCGCGATCCCTTGACAGTGCTCAGACGTAACCCCGCCATTCTTCAACAGCTTCCGCCATATAAGCTACAGCTTCACAAAGCCTCTCTTCCTCGTACTACTGTAAAGTCCGTTCGGAAGAGCCTTCATCTAAGCACAATTCATACTTTCCTCACACAATCATGTCTCACGAGCACTCACACGACGGCCCTCATGGCCACGCGCACTCCCACGAGGGCGGCTTCAATGCCCAGGAGCACGGCCACTCCCACGAGATCCTTGATGGTCCTGGAAGTTATCTCGGCCGCGAGATGCCCATTGTCGAGGGCAGAAACTGGAGCGATCGTGCTTTCACAATTGGTATTGGAGGGTGAGTTCAATTTGCAATCCAACTCCTGAGGTCGGCTCAAAAACCGCTCAACTCTTACTATTCGGAGGGCCACATGGCTTGCTAGATGCGCCCTCGGCATACATGTCCAGCATCAAATTGGACATGAACAATCGAATCCCAATGGCAATGGAATACGAAAGAAAGGCTGACACGAATTACCAAAATCTCAGACCAGTCGGCTCCGGCAAGACAGCTCTGATGCTCGCCCTCTGCCTCGCCCTGCGCGAAAAATACTCCATCGCCGCCGTCACAAACGACATTTTCACCCGCGAGGACGCCGAATTCCTCACCCGCCACAAGGCCCTGCCCGCCCCGCGCATCCGCGCCATCGAGACGGGCGGCTGCCCGCACGCCGCCGTGCGCGAGGACATCTCGGCCAACCTCGCCGCCCTCGAGGATCTCCACCGCGAGTTCGACGCCGACCTGCTCCTCATCGAGTCCGGCGGCGACAACCTGGCCGCCAACTACTCCCGCGAGCTGGCCGATTACATCATCTACGTCATTGACGTCTCGGGAGGCGACAAGATCCCGCGCAAGGGCGGTCCGGGTATCACACAGAGCGACTTGCTGGTTGTGAACAAGACGGATCTGGCCGAGATTGTGGGCGCCGATCTGGGCGTCATGGAGAGGGACGCGCGCAAGATGCGCGAGGGCGGGCCTACTGTGTTTGCGCAGGTGAAGAAGAATGTTGCCGTTGATCACATTGTCAACCTCATGCTTAGCGCGTGGAAGGCGAGTGGTGCCGAGGAGAACCGTAGGGCTGCGGGCGGACCGCGGCCTACAGAGGGCCTTGACAGCCTCAAGGCTTGAGTAGCATATGTGCCATCGAACGTTGGAAGAATGTAAGAAGTGAGGGTTGATGCAAAAAAAAGTTGAACGAATCTCTCTTTTCAAAAAACTCCGGAGGATGGCATCAGACCTGTATCTATAGCCGACGTTACTGCTAATATCTATGCATTCTTTTCCCGGGGCGCACCCCTTTTTTGGCATTTCCATCTCATCATGTCTGACTTTTATTTTATTTTTTCCCTTGGCCTATATTTTTTTTTCCTTTACTCCATCATCACATCACCCTCCTCGACCAGCTCCGGGACGCCAGCCTCAAGGAGAGGCCCCTCAAAGGGGACTGCGTTGCGCGGGAACACACGCTTATACAGACTGACACCAACAGAGTCCTGCGGGTTGATACGGGCGTCGAAGGTCGCCTTGAAGTACCCGTGGGTACCGAGGGGCTCCTTCATGAAGCCGGTGCGGCCGCGCTTGGTCCACAGCGGCAGGGCCTTGAACCACTCGACGTCCTCGCGGTTGAAGAACATGTAGCGGATGGTAACGATCTTCTTGTGGATGTGGTACGGGTGACCCGTCAGGATGGCGCGCTTGGCGATGACGCGGTTCGTCGATGACGGCAGGGCGGTGCCGGTGCCCACGAGCGTCAGGTTGAGGGCAGAATCCCCCTCGGCGTCCCCGGATGTGGGTTCGGTGCGCTTGAAGAACAGCACGGGGACAGCGCCCCAGGTGACGGGACCCATGAAGGTCGCGACGGCGGACTGGCCTGGATGGAGGTATCTGGCAAACTTGTGCACGTTGTTGGGCGTGTTGCCCGGCTGGGAGAAGACGGGGTTGATGGTGAAGCGGCGGGGGCCGCACTGCACGATGAGCTCCTCCTTGGCCTTGATGGACTTGTCGTGGTCTGCGCTGAGGTTGAAGAGGTAATTGACGGCCGTCTTCTTCTGCTCGTGGCGCAGGAGGGAGAAGAGCGTCACCGGCCGGCCGGGCTGGTGCGACTTCTCAAAGGACGCCGGGACGCCCTTGAGATAGACGTGGACGCGGGTGCCGGGGGCGACGCCGCCGACGAGGGCCTCGCGGGTGGACCGCGACCGGGACGCCTGGTAGTCTGGGATCTGGAGGAGCTTGCGCCACTCCTCGGGCTCGTAGGCCCGGTCTTCGCTCTCGAGCCACTCGCTCGTCCGCAGGCTCTTGAGACCTCTGTACCGTTGCAGGCGCTCGCGCGCTAGGACACCCGGGTGCAGCTCGATCTCGTCGGGGAACTCCTTGTCGTCTTCGACCTCATCCGTCTTGCGCGCGCGGTAAGCGGCGAGACCGGCAGCGTCCTCCTCTTCATCCGGCTCGATGAACTTTTCGGACTGTGCGTACGTTGTGGGCGCGCCCTCGGTGGGCTCCCTGGGCGCGGCACCCTCGAGACCATCCTCGGGGCGGGCCTCGTCCTCTTCAGAGTCGCCGTCTTGCATCTCAAAGTCCTCCATGTCGGAACCTGAGTCTGACATGTCGTCGCCGAGGTACCATGCCGCTTGGTAGTTGGACGTTCCCTTGGGGACTCTGGTCTTGGCTTCCGCGGCCTCGTAATAGTCGTCGTTGAAGTAGTGGTGGTCGTCGAGGAGCACACCCTTCTGAATCTCTGGCGGCTCAGCCGCTTCCATTTCGTCGTCTTCCATCGGCGCATCAGGGGCCAGCTCTGCCAGATCGTCCTGGTCTTCATCAGGGGTATCGAGAGTCTCCTCGGTCTCGGTCTCCTCCACGGCCATTTCGCCCCTCTTCAGCTTCTTGGGCAACGGGGCACTCGTAATCTTCTCGATCTGGAACGTGCCAAAGTCGCCCAGCTGAACCAGGCGGTTGGCCTTCAAGCCACGCCCCCTAACGACACCGGTGATGACCGTTGAGTCAAGTCCTGAGCTGGCGAACTTGATTTCTTCGGCCAACATCCAACTCCTATCCTCACGCCACCTGACACCCTTTGGTGTGGTGTTGCAGAGTGACCTCATGAGGTTGGCGCACTCTTGTCTGTTCTCCAGCTGGTAGAGCTTCTCCTGCTCGGGGTGGAAGTGGGTGATGTATGACCTCAAGGAACCGAGGGTGGACTGCTTGTGCTTGGCTTGGTCGATCTTGTCCACGCCGTAGACAACGGTGAAGAGGGTCGAGAGACCCTGGCTCTCCAGACTCCTCAGCATCAGCTCTCCGAGATCATCGACCTCGACGTCGGCGGATAGCATGACCACTACAAAGTCCGCAACTCGAGTGGCGTCCAAAACTGCATTCAGGTCCCGCTTGAGGGGGATGTATTGGACCTTCTGCTTGAATCTGTCGACGGAGACTCTGAACGGCGTCTCCCCCACTTCGGCCTCGATGTCCACACTCTCGTTCAACTGCTTGATGGCGACCGCGGCGTCACCATCCTGGCATAGGGGCACGACCGCTACGATTCTCGGTGCGCCATCCCTTCCGACAAATAAGCTAGCTTCCTCCAATCTCTCCTTGCGTTTGGCGATCTGGCGCTGCTTGGCCTGGTTTCGTCGGTCGAATTTGGACAGAACTTGCTGGTGAGGTGTCTTTCGCTGCCCCTTTTCGTCACCCGGGAGCCTGCCTATTCAAACCAAACATTAGTTTGAAAATTCCAAGGAAAAATGCGCCCTCGAATTTTGGGTGAGGGAGAATCTGGAGGCGAACCTTTGGCGGCGTCCCTCAGCGCACCCTTGGACGCATGCTTGGACTTGAAGGGCTTGTGGGTGACTTTGGTCGTCGGTCGGTGAGAGTGACTCATGGTCGCGGCGGGCGGTTTCCCGTCTCCCCCAGCCTTGAAACGAAAAGGTAGCGAAGCCAGGTTGAACAGAGGCTCCTTTTACTACTTTTCACAGTCGAAATCGAGACTTGGTCGAGTACGGCGCAATTTTTGGACTTTTTGGACGGATTTGCGCCTGTGATGCGGATGGAGGGGTACTTTGACCGACTATTTTTTTGAATTCGTGCGTGCGTTATCTGGAGACGTCCATTGGCCTGGTAAAAGTTTCTGCGGGGCACTGGCTTGGGTGATAAGATACGCTCGAACCAGGATCCCGATAACAGAAGAGCCGAAGAAATTTTGGGCCGAGTCGCTATTGTCGAGCACCTCAGTGAACTTTTTTTTCCTTGTAGGGACCCTTCGCGACGGCACTCCACGAGAACTCCAGACCTGCGAGCCACGACACAAACCTCACAACCCGTTTGCCCGCCATGGATATCGATACACCCGAGACGCAGACGATATCGCGGAGAGACAACCCGCACTCCAATGGCGCCGTGCAGGTGAAGCGCCGCACCGACCTCGTCCCGCGCGAGGAGCGAGAGAAGATCCGGAGGCTCAAGGAGGCGAACAAGTCGTACGGCCGCGGCAAGAGCGTCAACATGAAATCGATCAAGGATAAGAAGCTGCGCACCAACCTTTCCAAGCTCGAGAACAAATACCGCGACGCCACCATCAAGGCCAAGGACGCCGAGATCCTTCTCGAGAACAGCAGCGGCTTCCTCGAGCCCGAGACGGAGCTCGAGAGGACGTACAAGGTCCGCCAGGATGAGATCACCGAGGGTGTCTCCGTCACGACGGCACAGAAGCGCTTTGAGCTGAAGCTGGAGGAGCTGGGGCCGTACGTCGGCGAATACACCCGTAACGGCAGGGAACTGCTGCTCGCGGGGCGGAAAGGTCACCTTGCGACGTTTGACTGGAGGGAAGGCAAGCTGGGGTGCGAGATTCAACTCAATGAGACGATTAGGGATGTGCGGTGGCTGCACAACAACCAATTCTTTGCTGTTGCGCAGAAGAAGTATGTGTACATCTACGATCACAATGGTGTAGAGATTCACTGCTTGAGGAAACACATGGAGGTCACACACATGGAGTTTCTCCCCTACCATTTCCTGCTTGGTACAGTGGTAAGTTTTCAAAAGTAGGGATGCGAGCTTTGAGCTTCGCTGACAATGGTCACAGGCATCAACAGGTTTCCTCAAATACCAGGACGTTTCGACCGGCGACATCGTCTCCGAGATCCCCACCAAGCTCGGCCCCCCAACAGCCATGACCCAGAACCCCTGGAACGCCGTATTCCACGTAGGACACCAGAACGGCACAGTCACTCTCTGGTCACCCAACCAGACCGACCCCCTCGTCAAGCTCCTGGCGCATAGAGGACCGGTAAGATCATTAGCCGTTGACCGCGAGGGCCGATACATGGTCTCCACCGGCCAAGACTGCAAGATGGCCGTCTGGGACATCAGAATGTTCAGGGAAGTAAACCAGTACTTTACGAGAACACCCGCATCCTCAGTAGCCATCTCCGACTCGGGTCTCACGGCCGTCGGATGGGGCACGCAGACGAGCGTCTGGAAGGACCTGTTCAACAAGAACATACCTGTCCAGGAGAAGATCCAAAGCCCGTACATGGCTCTCGGAGGCGAAGGCAGACGCGTCGAGCGCGTGCGGTGGTGCCCCTTTGAGGACGTCCTCGGCACCGGCCACGACGAGGGTTTCTCCTCACACCTCATCCCCGGCGCCGGCGAGGCCAACTTCGACGCCCTCGAGGTCAACCCCTTCGAGACCAAGAAGCAGAGACAGGAGGCAGAGGTCAAGGGCCTGTTGAACAAGCTCAAGCCCGAGATGATTGCCCTGGACCCCAACTTTATCGGCAACATTGACCTGCGCTCGGCCGCGCAGCGCAAGGCCGAGAAGGACCTGGACGCGAAGCCGCTGTCCGTCGAGGAGGAGATCAAGAACCGCGCCAGGGGCAAGAACGGCGCGTTGAAGAAGTATCTGCGCAAGCAGAGGAAGAAGAACATCATTGACGAGAAGAGGATGAAGGTTGATGAGATATGGGAGAAGCGCAAGAAGGAGAGGGAGAGCAAGAACCAGGAGGCCGAGGCTGATCTCGGCCCGGCGCTGTCGAGGTTTGCGCGCAAGGAATAATGCGAATGATGAGGAAGTAGGAAATCGTGGCTGTAAAAAGTGTTGACAAAAAGTTGGAACAGGGGGAGTTGGTTGCATGTAAAAAGGCGTTTTAGGCATTTGCTCCCTTAGTGACCATGAATACCCGAATCTGGAAGATATTCTCTATACTCTCTGTCTTCTCTGTAAAACATTGCCTGTTGCTATATCTACTTCTAGGTGTTTTCTTTCCACCGGTCCCTGTACGATTTTTCTCCTCCAGTATCAAGCTCCTCAGCAGAGACAAACTAGGTAGGCATTTGAGTCAAGTCACAAAAATCAACTTCATCAACATTGGCGTAAGCAGCGTGACTTTTGATCATCATTCCAGGACATATCTCATGTCCGCATGTAAAGCGAAATACATCAGTTCTTCGCCTACTTTTATGTACCGTACGCCATTACGCTTCATTCGTGTATGTTCCCAGAGTCTATATTCCCATAATAACTTTTCTTCCGTAAGAAACCATGTGGATTTCTCAGATCGCCTTTACAGCAGCTTCAAGTGTCCCGTAATCTGGTCAACCAAGCTCCTGGGCGCAGGGCCAACGCCCAGCACAGTCAGACTGCCGGCCTCGATTTGTGTCCGGCCGGCATCGGCAATTACCTCGGAGGTGACGCCGAGGCTACGCGCCTTGCCCATGAGCTCGAGCATCTCGTCCTGATTCTTGATCTGAACGGCAATCTTGGCCTGGCCAAGATTCTCCCAGCGGGAAAGAATCTTGGCGGCGGGGGACGAGGGGTCTTTCGCTGCGATCTTGGAAAGGGACTTGTAGCATGCCAGAGTCGCGTGCGAGGCTTGCGCTGCCATCTTGCCTATAAAGGAGGGAGATTGGTAAGCCATGGATCGCCTTTCAGGGGGGTTAGTGAGAGAAGAGCAAGAACATACCCTTGGTCATGCCCAGGTCCGTCCGGACGACGAGCACGAGCTTGCACTCCTCATTTTTATCCACCAGCGGTGTGCCAGCCGGGTTGGGCTTCTTGGAAGAGGCGGGCTTCTCGGAGGCATTGCCCTTGCGCTGGCGCAGACCGTCACGGCGGTCGGCATCTAGGCCATTGGCCCAGTTGGGCGCATGGTCGAGAACAGTATCGTCCTCGTCAATGTCGGACTCCTCACTCTCGACAGGGTCATCGAAGTTGGCGCGGGCTTCGGAGCGCAGTTCGGGGGAGATGAGGTAGCCGCGGATCGAGTAGACGCCGAGGAGGAAGCCCGTCATGAGGGCGACGATGGATGTCGACAGCACCACGGCTGTCTGCTGGCCGCCTGTGTCCGCCATTGTTGCGCGGCCTGTTCGGTATTGTAGAGGTGTTTCGGTGTGGGCTCGAAAGGTTTAAGGAGAGAATTGCTGAGAAACGCCGGGACAATATGGAGGAGTTGGGCGGACAAGATGGGATGAACTGCAACTTTTTTGTGGGATAGGATTGGATGGATGGAATTGGAGACGTCGAGGTCCGAATTCCAGGTCTATCGGACAGCGCTTCGCCAGGCCCGGATGACGCACGCCAGGGGCTTGACTTGCCTGCCTTGGCCTGCCTGGATTTGGCTGAAACCCCCTGGACCGCCGCTCCCGGGGACCCTTCAGCGGAAGGTGCCCCCACTATCTGATATTCTGACTGGGGAGGGGTAGTGGTGGGGTTGATTAACTTCCATGGGGATCCAACAATCTAACAGTAAGCTACTACAAGCCGGAATCTCAGATCAAGACTTGGCTGCGACTATCTCCCGCGTATTCACAGTTTAGCAACTGGCGGTCTGTCTTAATGGGCGACGACTCATAAAACGGGTCTCTCTACTTTAATCTATGTCAGTGTTCCTCATCAAGTCTGAAAGCAACACGCAACAAGTTTGCTATTCTCATAGACACACTCGCTCACAACTCACAGACATACCTCCCGCGAGGCGCTTCACGATAAAGCTTCAAGATGGCGGGGAAGAATGCCGTGATTGTCGGGTTGAGCGGCTGCTCTTCCAGCGGGAAGACGACACTCGCTCGTCTACTGAGAGACATATTTCCCAGTACCTTTATCCTCCATGAGGACGATTTCTACAAAGCCGAATCCGAGTAAGAAGTCCACACAAATCATGATGACGGTCAAGTCTTGCTTACATTTCCGACAGATTACCAAGCAAGAATGGTCTCTTGGACTGGGACTGTCTTGAATCGATATCTATCCCCGACATGGAAAAGGCTCTAGTTCACATTCGTGAAAATGGTACTTTCCCTGTAAGTTCCACTCGAATAGTATAATCTCCCTCACGCTTCTCACACAATATCAGCCCTTTGTAGATTCGAAAGAAGACCAAAACTCCGTCGGAAAGTGCCCAGTCTCGGATAACAAGATCGCCGCCATGAAAGCTAAAGTCGAAGCCTGGCTCCAGCCCGGCAAGCCAGGACACGCCATCTTCACCGAGGGCAAGCTCAATGTCTGTCTCTTTGATGGCTTCCTTCTCTACTGCAAGGAGATGGAGACGACCATGGAGCTCATCGACATCAAGCTGTTTCTCCTCGTGAGCCGCGCCAAGGCGACGCAGAGGCGCGAGGCCCGCGATGGGTATGTCACTCTGGAGGGGTTCTGGCAAGACCCTCCTGGGTACGTGGACAAGATTGTCTGGCCTAACTATGTCGAGTCCCACTCATGGCTTTTTGAGAATGGAGACGTCGAAGGAAAGTTGAATGCGGAGGTGTTAAGTGAGAAGAACATTAAGGCACAGGTTGGCAAGGGACTGGATATTGATATGGAGACTACTCTGGAGTGGACTGTTGACACCATCATCACGGAGTTGGAGAAGCGTGCTTCTGAGAAAGCCTAAGAAGACCAGCAGGATTTCATGATATATCGAACTAAGATTCAAAACAATGTGCAAGAAGATAAGCGTATGTACTTCACCCCTTTCCCTAGGGTGTTTGAAATAACTTCAAGCAGCTGTTGTCAAAGACGGTGAACCACCAAGGTATTTCAAGATAACTATCCTTGCCAGGTATCAGACTTTGTAGCCGTCGACGAGCAGGTTGACGGGACGGTGTAGCTGCGGTTGGGGTCACTCTCCCAAGTGACGGCACCACCGCTGGCAACGTTGATGTACTTGTACTGGAACGTCGTACCAGCCGGCAGCTCGATGGTCACAGACCAGATGGGGTTGGCCGAGGTGTATCCCGAAGCACTCAAAGCGATGGCATTGCTCGGGTTCCAGCTTCCGAGGGCGGCGGTGCTACCCACTAATTTGATCGTCTGGCCGAACTGCGTCACGACCCGGGCGTTGAAAGTAACGAGCACGGAGCTGGCAATAGGACATCCCGTCGCGGTCGGCGTAGCCCCCGTAGTAGTTCCCGTAGGTGATCCGCCCCCTCCACCAGGCGTCTGGTTGGCAGGGAACGAAGTCGCCGTGGCGCTGGAGTACGAGCCGGCGATGGAGGTGGCCTGGCACGTACCCGGGACCGAGGTGGCAGAGCCGACCCAGCCCTTGGGAATGACGTTGGCGCGGCGCTGTGCGGCTGTGAGGAAGGCCGCGTAAGACCAGGTGAGGTCGTCCGCCGAAAGGGGCTGGCCGTTGCTGCGCGAGAACTGCTCGGCGAGCGAGCCGTTGGACTGGGCGTAGGTCGCGACCACGTTCATGAAACCGTCCGCGTAGGCGCTGACGGTATTAATGAGCGAGTTGTAGGTTGATGACCCAGAAGCGTACGTCCCGGGTGCTACGGAGCCGTCACGGTCTCGGAAGAAGGCCAGTGACGTCTGGGTGACGGTGATGGATCCTTGCTGCTTCCAGACGTAGAGGGCGTCGTAGAGCTGCTCAGCGGCGGCCAGGGTGTTGAGGTACCACGGGTTTCCGTTGTAGTAGCTGTCTTCGGGGTATCTGCCGACTGCGACGGCGGCGGATTGGGCGATACCGTTGTTGATCGCGTAGATGGAGCGGAAAGAATCTACGACGACCTTGTGGCTGGCAAGGGCTTTGTCACTGCAGGGCTGGAAAGTCGCCGCGTCGCAGGCTGCGGCCGGGTCGAAGTTGTGAATGGAGGCGAGGATGACGTTGGCATCACGGCCGGATCTTCCGTTTCCGTTGACTTGATGGAGTTAGACTGCGTGGTTCACTGACAGGCATTTAAGATTGTGCTCATGAACTCACTGTTTGCAACCATAAAGTTACCAGACGGGTTCCAGAATCTGCCCAAGAAACACAAGACTTGGGGGGCTACGGCATCACAAGCTGCGCAAGACTGTCCAAGAGACCGGGCCAATGCGCTGCCCTCAACAAGAGCTAGTTTCTTGAGTTAGTCTTGATGACTGTTCATCATATAATTGAGGTGAACATACCGCGATGTTGGCTGGCGACGGTGAAGAAAGAGCTTCCCTGGACCTCCTCCCACAGATCGAAACCAGTCTGGTTCCTAGAGACAAGTCAGGTATGCTCATAGCCACTTGTAGTCTGGTCTTCTTACCAGTACTGGGCAACATATGCCAAGTCATTGCGGATCACCGGCCACAAGACGGATGAGGCAGTAGACGAGTAGCCGTTTGATACGAGCCATTTCGCGTACCCGATGATGGCAATGGCTCGCAGCGCCGGACCATCTCTCTGAGGTCGTCCTGAGTCAATATTAGTATGCGCCTCAAATCCAGTGGCAAATTTCCAACATACCCCAAGCACCCGTGAAGGGGGCCAAGTTTACTTCGAACTTTGGCTCGCCAAGACCGGCACCATCACCCAAGCCTCCGGAAGGGTTCGAGACTCCCTGGAGGCGAGCTTGAGAAGCAATGTAGTTCTGGATGTTGGTCTGGAGGTTGGCATCGTAGCTGTTGGTGAAGATGTCTACTACAGCCTTGAAGACGAGGCCAGCATCTATGGACCTGTCAGTTTCTGCAGTGAAACCACTGGCAGATTACGTTTACCTCTAGTCCATGTGTAGAAATCTGTGAAACATTAGCAAGAGTCCCTGAATCAAGGTACCATGGTTTGCCCCTCGGAGAACAGGTCGATGGATTTGTCCCGCCGCTCGTTTCTCCGCTTGAGGTTTGTCACCAACAGAACTTAACTTACACGGTGGGTCAGTCTTGTCCGGAGAAGCAATGACGATGCCAGAGCTGACGCCTTGAGCATGACAACCATTCGGGCCAATATTGCAGAGCAGCTGCGCAAGGGCTATGGGAGTCTCAGTGGCAATGAAGGAGTCGACGTCCCTCTTGACAAACTGGCCGCCGGGATAGCCAAAGATCGTCTGGGTGGCAAGTGACCCAAGCAGAAGAGCAGAAGTGAGAAGCTTCATGATGGGCTGTGTAAGACGCTCTGTGGTGTTGTGTGCCAGGCTTCCCGACATGACATGTTGTAGGTAAACCATGATGATTATATACTTCTTCGCGAGGCACGAAGAAGCTGTAGAGCAGGGGATGTATTTAGGGTGGGTTGCTTTGATGTGCCTCGAAGGCCCGAATGCTGGAGTATCACCGAGCTGTCAAGCTGGCCTGCATTAGTCTCACGAACAACCAAGATGCCCCTCGCCACGAGCTAGAAGCTGGACCTATGTCGGCACAACAGCGAGAGGAATTTGGTCGAACCGTTCAATAATTCCTCCAAAGCCCCCCGGTTGTGGAGCACACGCCCAATTTTCCAGCTTTCGTCGACCTCAGTCTCAACTTCTTCGAGTTCTTTTGTGAATAGTACCAGTGCCGGCACGTACAAGTGCTCCAGCAGTGCCGTGAGACAAGGGTAACAAGAATCCCAGCTCAGACGATGCCGTACAGGCCGCACGTGGACCAGGTTGGTTGTATTACTAGAAGGTCACCTCAGGTAGGCAGCAAGGATAGCAGACAGGGGTCGAGTGATGTCGTCTCCAAGGCCAAGTAGATCAGACAACCTTGTCGTTCGGTCCTTTCCGCCAGGAACTGCGGGGTGTTATTGGTTGCTATGATGAAGGACTCATTGGGGTAGTGGAGGAGGCGGAGGAGGTTTAAGCGTTCCCCGCACACTCCTTCCCGAGGCTTAGGCTTGATCGAACGACTAAGACATTGGATGGCTTGCACTGCTGATGAGCTTAATGCGTATTGGAGTGGGAGCGGCCTTTGTCTGAAGCCTACACTTGTCGGAATCGGACGAACCTGAGAAAGCGAATGATGCTCTGGATCACTTGAAAGGAGAGGCGAGTAACAGCTGTCGTTGTTGTCCCATTCGAGCCAGCCTCATGTCTCATCGGCATCTAGAAGCTGGGCATGCGATGCTTCCTCACCCACCGGCGCTTGCTGGTGGTGTGATGCCATCAAGCAAGTCGACATCATCAATGCGGAAACTCCCTCGCCCTCAAAGCCGAAACGTCCTTTTTACAGCTTGCTCATTTGCTGCCGTGCAGTAGCGTCGACCAAGCTGTATGAAGTGTGACGATGTTACGGCGGAGTCTCCTGTTGATATCGGGCCGGACGAGAGAGTTAGCCATGCCAATAGCTACCCCAGATCACACGGCTGCACCCCGCACCGGCCATCCCACATGTTGGCCAACTTGGCCCCGTTGACACGGCCGGCCGGGATATCCAGAACGGGGACTCTGCGCCGTAACCGACAAACTCTGATGGTATTGAGAACTTGAGAAGCGAGAGGGTGGGCACCGAGATGCAGGAGCAACATGCATCGTCGAACGGCGCAAGCTTGAGATGACGGCGCCAGGCACGGGATGCGCCGAGAAAGAGCCCGTGGAGAAAATCGTGGCTCGTCTATCGATTATTGTCCGTAGGTCTTTCACATGTCTTCTTAGGTAAGAATGGTGCTAGACATGGGATATTTCATGTAAGAACCTGGTAACAGTATCTTCAAAAGTGGTCTCTGGGCTAGGCGCAAACAAGATGGCCGCGACTCGGTTCCAAATGGTCCGCTAAGACTGTATTACGAGATGGTTGCCAGTTTTAGGCAAGTGCGATTTTCCTCACTTGAAGCTGCTTACACCTGACGCGCCGCAGTCGCGGGGCAAAATCCAGATGGAAGCTGCCACTTTACGCGCTCACGATAGTGAAAATTCTTCAGCGAAATCTACGCGGAGGGAAAAAAGAAGTCCCAAGGGTCATAGTTTGTGGGCAAGTCATGGTTTTCCCTAACCTCATAGATCGACGATCTCGGCAAAAGGGGTAGGAATATGACGTCCCCAGTACAAGATTACACCACGCTCAAGCTTTTGACGGCGAACATGGCTGCCTCAAGACCGGTCACTCTTGAACCTGTCGATCGGAAGATTGACATCATGAAATTTGATGGCTCCTTGGATGATCGAGCTGCCGCAGAACTCGACCCTGACTCCCGTAGGAGCAGAGGAATTCTGGGCACAGGCCCGTGTTTGTTGAAGAAGGAAAAGAAAAAGAGAAGAGAATTTTCGCAAGGCTGCGCTATGTAGTAAAAACCAGAGACCCACTTCGGACGATTAGCTAAGCACGGGTCGTTGGCGGTGGAGAACGACCCTGACGAGCCTGGGTGCCTGGCAAAGTGTTGGTGAGCCGCATGCTTTTTCCGGTTGGCCACGAAGTTTGCGCCTCGTAAGGTATCGTTATCGGAATCGCACTCTCAACTCCAGCCTTCCGTTGATGCTCCATAGCATTTTCATCGTCCGCAGCCCTCGACTCACCATCGCGTCAACTGACAAAACCGCATCCATTTCAACACTGCACAACAGGTCAAACACACCTATCGCCAGAAACATCCAAAACGCAGATTACCGCCAAGATGGACGCCGCGACCATCGAAGAGACGAATCGCATTCGCGTTTCGCTGGGCATGAAGCCGTTGCCGGTTCCTGGCGCCGCCCCAGCCGAAACGCAGCACGATGATTCTGCATCGGAAGAAGAGGATGCGTCTGCGACACTCGAAGGACGTCAGGCGCAAGCATACGACAACTACCAAAAGGTGCGCGACGCCGAAGCCGCCAAGCGCAAACGAGAAGAGCGAGCCGCCGCCGCGAAAAGGGAAAGAGAAGCAGCGCAGCGCAATGCAATCTTGGAGGGCAAGGGTCTCGGCGAAGCTGACGAAAACGACGTGGACGCAAAGGCATGGTTGAAAGCGCAGAAGAAGCGACAAAAGGCTATCGAGAAGGCCAGAAAGTTGGAGGAAGAGCAGGCAGCAGCCGAAGCAGCTGCGCTCGCGGCAGTCGAGTACACTTCGAAAGACCTTGCCGGGGTCAAGGTCGCACACGAATTGGACAACTTTCTCGACGGCGACGAACAGATCTTGACCCTGAAGGACTCGACCATCGATCAGAATGAAGAAGAGGGCGACGAGCTTGAGAATATGGACGTCAGAGCCAGAGAGCAACTGCAAGAGAGACTAGATCTGAAGAAGAAAAAGCCAGCATACGACGTCTTTGCTGCAGCAGATGAAGATGGTGAACGCGGCATCTTGGCTCAGTACGACGAAGAAATCTACGGCAAGAAGGGCAAGAAGTTCACCCTCGATGGGTCTGGCGCTATCGCGGAGTTGGGAGATATTCTTGGAGCTCCAGAAAACGTCAAAAAGTTGCAAAACATTGATCTTGATGTCATGCGTGAGTATTGCCTAGCTAAACTTGGTCATGATGGGACGTCGCTAACCCTCCATCCAGAAGACGCTCCTACCTCAGATTACCTTGATATCTCAGAGATCAAGGTGAAGAAGCCAAAGAAGAAGAAGAACAAGTCAACGAGGCAGAAGCCTATCGATGAGGACGACATCTTCCCCCTTGACACGGCACCGGCAGACGACAACGAGATGGATGTCGACTCTGGTGCGGCTATCAGCAAGAAGAAACGCAAAGTGGAAGACGACAACTTCGTTGATGACGACGATTTGCAGGCTTCCCTGGCCATCCAACGGAAGAGCGCATTAAAGAGACGGAAGAAGAACCGACCTGAGGACATTGCTCGGCAACTCAAAGAACAGGCAGATGAGCCGGACAATGAGGCTCTCAATGGCGGTGTAGTCATTGACGAGATCTCTGAGTTTGTGTCGAATCTGAAGAAGCCAGAAGAGGAGGAGGAGCGCAAAACAAAGAGGCCAAAATCCACATCAGTAGAGCCTGTAACTGCCATGGGCGCCGACGACGACGACGATGAAGATCACCCGATGGGCGACGATGCCTATGAAGTTCCCGAGGACAGAGCTAGAGAGGCATCTGTAGAGATTGCAGCGACGGGAGTCGACGAAGAGAAGTCACTCAACACCGGTATGGGTTCAGCTCTGGCCCTACTCAGAGAGCGTGGTCTTATCAAAGACTCTCATGGTGCGGAGCGAAACATGAGCGAACGCCAAAAGGCCGAATTTTTGGCAGAAAAGAGACGTCTCGAGAGGGAGCAAGAAGATCGGACCAAGTCCCAGCGAGAGCGCGACAGAAACAGCGGCCGACTGGATTCCATGTCTGTAAGGGACAGAGAGGAGCGCGCCCGACAAGCAAATGCCCACCGCGAACTGCAGCAATCACGCGTCGTCGACGAGCTTTTCAAGAAGCACTACAAGCCCAATGTGGAGCTCAAGTACGTGGACGATCACGGCAGATCTCTCGACCAGAAGGAAGCCTTCAAGCACATGAGTCACCAGTTCCATGGCAAGGGCAGCGGCAAGGGCAAGACCGACAAGTTGCTGAAGAAGATTGAGGAGGAGAAGCGACGCGAGGCCAAGCCGACGTTTGACGCGAGCGAGAACGCAAATATGAACTCATCATCGGCGAAGCGGCAGGCCGGTGTTCGATTACAATAAAAGGCTAAATCGGGTTGGTGTCGGGACCATGGACCAGGAAAAAGGTGCAGACCCTTTAATATGTACAATCCAAATTGAAGTTTATTCCCTGCTGACACAACGCTCAACTCTTCAGACGCCCCCGGTTGGTTTGCTGACGCTTTCTTTGTGATGCTCACTCATCCCTTTCCCAAATGTTAGAGGTGCAAAGTTGTACACTCTGGCATCCCTTGCGTGCTGTCATCTTGCTTCAGAGCAGGACAGACGGCCCTTTCATGGGCCACGGAATGCTGAGGCCAAGTGGCTCGGCCCTCCTGCGTTTGTCTACTACGTCGCCCAAGTCGCTGGCCGTCATGATGGGCCTAGCAGACTCTCCCAGCTCCAGCGTGGCTCGCGGGGTATTTCGTTTCTTCTTGCTGGTGTGACAGGCGCGTCGCTCAGGCTCTCGTACTCCCTCTGAGCCTCGTCAATCATTCTGAATATGTCGTCCATATTGAACGCCGACGTCGTCCGCCTTGGCGACATGGCCAGAAGCTCTGGCGTCTGGCCGCTGCTCTCAATCGCATCCGTGACCTCAAGCATGAGATCCTCCATCAACGGCGAGACGCATGGTGAAAAGTCGGCCGAGAACTCAGACGAGGTGAAGGACAGCGGGCTATCCGGCTTGCTGATGCTGCTGCTTTGACTCGGCTGCCGTTTCAGAGGCGTGACGCTCCGGCTCGTCGAAGACGCGGATGCCGTCGCCGCAGTCGGTGTCATGTCGATGCTGCCGCCGTGGGTCCGACACCGTTGTTGTAAGCGTGCCCGTCTCTGGTCCCGCCGCGATCTGATGATATCCCGAACGGCATTGCCGTGGAACTCGCAGTCTGCTGCCGCCGGTGAGCCGCGGTAGCAGTCCTTACGGCCACAGATGCCGTGTGTGAAGACGTCTGGGTGCGTGACTCTGAAGTTGAGCATGCCTTGCCTGCCTGCGCCCATACTGGTCATGCTGGGCTATATGTGACAACGTGTGGGGATGCGCCTTTGTGTGAAAGAATGAGAGGGAAAGGTGGTGAGGAGCTTGCGGTTTTGAGATGCTCATGCCAAGCCTTGATGTAGGCCAACAGATGTATGAGCTAACTGAAGGATAAGTATACGGGGGCTTAGATAGATGGCTGAAGATGGAAGAGGAACCATGATATTTACCTCTTGAGCTTAAAGAAAAGCCTCAGCGCCCACGTTTTCTTCCTTCTACTTGGTGTACCCCGCGTTCAGCTAGTCGTGAAAGCCAGGTCTCCGCCTACTGGAGTGAGTTTGAGTCGATCTCGCCTTTGAGCTTTCTTCGGCACTTGTAACCCAACCCTTTGGGAACCGCTCCTACGCCTCCTTCAGCTTCTTCTTGCTCTCTTTTGCCCCGTTTCAAGGTACGCACGCGAAAGGCGTCTGCGGCGCTGCTGCTAGAAGGGAAAATCTCTCAGAAATTCCCCTTCCCCTCACACACACACTCTCTCTCTCACGGTAGCGAAAGACAGGCCCAAGACTAATTCTGGAAACGGTGTGTCTGGAACAAAGGCCGATCTGCCAGCGTGGCGTTGACTTTTCCTTATTTCCTTATCTCTTTTGAGTTCAGGCGGGAGATGTACAGTAGGCGAGGATAGGTAGAGTAAACACTACACGTGCGCGGTGGAAAGTCTGATCACTTGTTCTTTTTTGGCGTAGGTCTTGGTGTAGAAAAGAGGCGGATGAATGACAGGACAGCAGAAGCAAAGAAGTAGCAGTAGAAAAACAAGATGAAAAGGAAGCAGAAGAAATAGAACGATCGAAGGTAATATCTGCCGTACGCCTCTTTCTTTCTCCCTTTCTCACCACTCGAACCCAAAGAGAAAAACGCCCACGTTTCGTGTTGTTTCCTTTCGTCAAACTTGAGGATCGCGATGGTGCGGGATCGCTGGTTTTGCTTGCTAACACATAACATGATTCTGGTGTTTTTTTGCCCAGTCCGCCTCACCAACCCTCCTCATGGCTTCATGCCCTAGAGGTCTGAGTCTCCCTTTGACGTTCCAATGAACCCAGTCCGAAGTACTGTCCCTAGGCGACCTTAATCTCCAGCAAAAAGCCCGTAGCTCTGTCGGAGAATTTGCATTCCAATCGACCCTTTCTTCCCGCTAGTTACTGTTTCGGTTGTTCGTCTTTCCCTCCCCTCGAATTTCCCCTTGCAACGTGAGTGTGAATCCCCCCACCACGTGCAATCGGGATCGATCCTCCATGTTTGACGAGCGAGAAGTACGACAAACCTCCCGTGTAACACGATTCTATTAAGGCTGAATAGAGTGTATCAAGGGGCGAATTGAATTGGTTTAAGGGAAAAATCGAGATTCCTCCCCCGCCATCTTCATCATCGCGATGGGGGGGCGCCATATGTGATGTGATGTGATGTGTCCTCGATAATCGCAATGCGTGTTGGTATTTCTCCCGCCCCGCGCCATGCCTCGCTCGACGACACCCACGAGCCCCATGCCATTGCCTCATTCTCCAGATTCCAAAATCGTTTTACAAAAGCGTCCAAGACGCACACGCCCCGCCGCCGCCGCCGCGGGGGCTGCCACATCAGCCCACATATCAAGAAAAAGTCCGGGTCTCATGACAGCGGACCTTACCGTGAGGTAGGCCACAAGCCATAGTTCCGTCAGAGGGCGGGCGCTTTTCCCAATGTTCCAGCATGTAAGACAGATAGCCCAAACAACCGAAAAAAGAAGAAATAGCGAAAATACAGCTCCGATGGGCCGATCTGGCCAAAGGCTGAGAAGGGAAACAAGCGTAAATAAAATAAAAAAAAGAGGTAAAATAGTAAGCCGTCGTAAAATAGGCCGAAAAATACAGAGTAGAGAAGATGTTCATCTTCAGGCTCCAGCTTCGGGAGGGACCTCCTTGCCCTTGATCACGGCGTCGGCCTCCACGAGTTGGTCCACGCCGCCTGTTGCTGTCAGGCCCGCAGACGACCGCCGCGTCACGATCCACCACGTGAGCGTCAGGACCGTAAGCCAGGCGGCGACCCAGGTGATGACCACGCGCGGCGAGCGGCGGCGTCGCGGTGCGTAAGGGGAGAAGTTGATGCTCGGCATCGCGTGCAAGGGGGCGCCGGTGCCGTGGATGAGGTCCGTAAATGTGGGATGTTATGTGTTTGGATTTGAGACTGTAGCCCCCTTTTGTTGGTCGTGAATGGTAAACGCTTAGTTGGAGGCCGCGGCTATCGAGTGGTACAAAGCAGCAGATAGGTTTATGACATAACCAGCATACGCGGATAATACGATGAGATCAATTGATGATTCGACATTGTAACGTGGTTGAGATTCGATGAGAGTAGTAGACGAGCGTTCAAGCCAGGAGTGATGGTGAGTGGGTCCTCTGACGCCAGACATGCCAAGCACTGTCCTGCGCACCGTGTCAAGGTGCTGGAACATCCATGATAAATAGGCAGCTATTCGTCCTTGGCTTAGATTGACTCTGTATATTGATCGCTCAACATGAATCCAATTTAATATCAGTTCAATTTGTTAAGAACAATGTTGAAGCAAAAGAAGTAATAAATGCGGCGACGGGCAATCAAGAATAGGGACGATGTCTGCGTTGGCTATCCCTAGCACTCGTGAGTAGGCTTCAAGGGATTGTTCAGGATTCAGATCAATTTCATGCTCAATAACTAGCAGAGACTTGACTGAAAAGTTGGGGTTGTTTCCAAGAAAAACACCACTACCTGGGCCCTTGAGAGGTATCTCAATGCTACATTTTGATGGAGGGAGGAGACCTGGAAAAGAAATTGTCTACATGTAGCTGACCTCAAAGCCCATAGCACCATCAATAGTATTCAGCAGGTAGACTACTTCGATTCTGTAGAAACCGAAGTTCAGTCACCGCAAGGGCGATAAATGTTTCATTGACCACATTGAGTGTATCCATGTAGCCATGTGGCTGTTCTATGCATTGTACTAATATACAAGTTCATGACTTGTGTTTTTCTTGTCGCTTTGCGCATAAGGCGCCGACAGCCGCCCCCAAACCAATTAATAAACCGACCAACGCCAAATTCAAATTCAAAGCCAATAATCGTTTACAAACGAATGCTTGCACCTATTCCCTGGCCCTCGTACCAGACCGTATCCTTCCAATTCCCAATCCGCACAGTGACATTCGCACTTGCATCAAGGGTCAGGGACCCTCCAATTGCTCTCTTCACGGCGTCATAGCCCACTGATCCTGCAGACCAGTCTACAGGCAGCCTGGGCGTGACAGACATTCCCGGCGGCGCCGCAAAGGGTAGGCCATAGACAATACGGCCGACCGGCTCTGTGTGGTTGTACAACGCTGTCGCGTTGATCCAATCAACATAAATGGTGTTGTACCGTAGCGGAGACACCAAAGTAAACGTCGCTGTAGAAGAAAGCACGTGGAAAGTCGCATCTCTAATGAAGTGTCCCTTCTTTTCGCCTTCTCCGGGAAGGTCCAACTTCGGAGCGGCGATGCTGATGTTCAGCTTTGATAGGCCCTCGCCAATAAGAGGGGCAGTCGGAATCGTGCCTCGATGAGTCTTGACGTCTATGGTGACATTGCGTCCGGAGAGATATTCTGATATCATATCACTGGCAATCTTGCGGCCAGCTTCGCCTTGGGCAGTCGGGTCCCAATTTGCTTTGACAAGCAAATTCGTATTGTTGCCCTTGTCGACTCTTAAATTCTCAGCAGTAGCACTGCCAAGCACGAAACCGTCCCTCACGATGTGAATGTTGATATATGGTATGGAGGCTGTGTACGGTGTCGGGTTTGTGATGTTGACCAACGCCTCAAGGGTCATCGCTGAGGAAGAGGTACTGATAATCTTCACATCTCCCACTTGTGGGTGAATGCTGCCAAAGGTGTCGCCAGGGAGAGCTGCACCAGTGTAAGCCTTCATGCTCGCTCAGTTCCCCTTAGTGAGCAGGGACATAAGAAATCAACCCACGATAAGACAAACAGTGCCGGACTTAGTACGGACGTTTTACCGGGATTTTGCCCTCAGCAGGGACATCCTTCAAGACCAAGTTTCCAAGAGCCGTATTGACTCGAATGTCGACACCGGCCTTGACGTCCAGCAAGACCTGCTTTCCACCGAAAAGAAGTCTCTGCATAACGTCGGTCAAGACATCGCCATCGGTGATATTTAGGGGAGCGTCAATGACCCGGGACGTAATTCTCAGGAGAGGCTCGTGTTTTTCGTCGCCGGCCTCTTTCGTTGAGTTAGCGGACTGCCACTTGTCGAGGTTGAGTTCCCCGAGTTTCTTGTGTTGATATATGACGTCTGCCGTAGCTCTCAAATCCGTGACATTGATGTCAAAGTTCATCTCTTTCGGAAGACTCGCGAGAACCTCAACCGTACCGGAAACCTTTGGCGATCCATCAGGGTCATCCGGGTCCGCCATAGGATCGGGCAATTGAAAATTCACGTCAGTGAGTGAGAAACTCTTGATGAGGTTGTCAAAACCCTGACCGGGGAAGGGAACGGGGACAGTGATCTCGGACAAAATGTCGCCGACCCAGTCTGGGGTGTCCGAATCCGGCATTTTGCGACCACGGACGTAGACAGTGGCGGCCTCGCCGTGCATGTACTGATCCAAGAATTTGTCCAGAGGTGACGACTTGGAGTTAGGGCAAACCCTTGTCAATGACTTTGGAAGCTCTCGGATGATTCCAGAGACGTTGACAGTGACATCGGTCCGTGGCTTGATTGAGAGGGGTTTAGTTGTGGCGTCGGCGAGAAGAATGTAGGGATCGAAAGAATTGCAGTTGGGAACCAGAACTTCAAACCCAAGTTCCGGTACATCTAAGCTGACGGGAAACTCATTGTAGGCGGTAATGGCTACGTCGGCGCCGACAGCTGTTCGCTGGCCGTCCGAGTCTGGCAAGTCCCGGAAGTTGAGGCGCGAGATATTATACTGCGGCAACGTTGGGATTTGGTTCGCTAAATGAGGCATCAGTATGGAGCTTGAAGGAGCATGTTGTGATTGAAGCATAGTGATATTTAAAGCAGAACTTTTTCTCCAAAGTACAGGGAAGCAAAGGAGCGGTAGAGTGATTGACCTTCAAATACCAAGACCTCGCTCACTGGATGAGTGCCGAGTGGGAGGATTCCGGACTTGAGTGGGATATTGGCCTTTCCAAGCACCTTCAGCTGGTCGAGCTTCCCATCTAGCCATTCGTTGGCAATCTTTCGGTACGCTTCGGCGTCACCGGGCGACAGTTCGGCGATGAAATCGATCGCGGTCGTTTGGCCATCGACGATACTAATGGTGAGTGGCGGCACGACAGCAGTGCCAAGCAAAGCGTCGTCGTATTCTGGCAAGAACACGCCAACCTTTGTCTGCTCTGTTCCCAATTGCCTCACAATCCAAGTCGCAAACTTTCCAATCCTTCGAGATGTCGTGTCCTGGACCCTAGAGCCGTCAAGCTTGAAGTTGGCCTGAACACGTGCCCGCACACCGTCCGTCGTGATCGATTCTAGGGCCAGATTTGTCGGCTCCACGACAGCAGCCTGCTTCGCATACTCTTGAACTGCCGAGGGTACGAAAAAGCAACCGGCCATGATACCAAAGACCAACAATATCAATACGATGATGGATATCACGGATGCCCATCGTACAGAACTCTTAGTGGTTGTGCTCGGAGGGTTCGAAGCGAGGGAGGCAGCGCGGGACCTCTCAGGGTCGTCTTGCTCGCCGTCATATCGGGGCGTCGCAGAGGAGCTGGATAACAGAGGCGCTGATTCGGACAATGAGGAATCATCTTCGGCCCTGCCTTTGCCCTTGCCCGCCAGGAGCGGCGATCTTTCTTCATCTTCGGCCATTGCGCGTATACTGTTATCGTGATCACAAATTGTAGTGTGTCGTTGTCGGATTAGAGCGCAAGGAGGTCCGTCATCGCCGGTCGAGATGGCAAACAAGAATGAAACCCAGAAAAAGTCGTACAAAAGGAAATCATGCAGAGAGGAAGTGTACGGGGTTCCGATCTTGCCCAGACAACCCAGATAGTCGGGATTCGTAATGGTGATGATGTCAAGTAACTTGGTTCATCCCAGGACGGGCAGTGCAGTTGAAGAGGCCGGGGTGGAGGTCAGCTGAAACCAATGAGACGAGATCTGGTCACCAGGGCGGACTTTCCACACAGCGCCCATGTGGATGGCTGGGGATGATCTTCCCTCCCACGCCTCAATTGCCCTCCAGTGCCTGGCCGGGTGGGCACGGGCCATTCCTTCCTTCTCAGGCACACATGCACCACCTGTGCACCTTCAGTCTGCACTGCTGCAGTTGCACCAGTGAACCACTGCCCACCTACACAGTATTACTGCCCGGGCTACGGCCAACTTATGTCGTTGGCATGTTCCGGTTACGGCGCTTTCGAAGGACCAGTCTGGGCCCACACAGCAACAACTAAAGGTACCTTATCTAGGTACACAGTGTCAGTGTCTCGCCTGTATAATCCTTATCGTGCTATCCTTCCCCATTCTGACCTTGCATATGCCCTGCAACGCCCTGTGGTTTACAGGCAGAGTGACTCTGAAATTTTCGGTGTAAAGCGGTGAGGAGTTCGTTGAGTTTGCAGCCCGCAGTAGACTTTGTGGAGGTCTCGGCCGTTGTGGTCTCTCATTGAAGCTATCCATCCGATCCAATCGTGACTCAATCAACTCATAATACTCTCAATTGACCACCACTTCGACTCACTAGCCACTTTTTCTCACTGTTAACAACCCTGAAGGTAAACTTCATCCATTGACCCTCAATTGACTTAATTCTACCTGCACAAAGCGGTCTACAACTTCTCATATTTCACACTTTCTTGAAGTTCGACCCGCAAAGTCGCCCACCATGAAGCAAACAGCTTTCCGAGTCACTCGTCAAGCTCTCAACGGCGCCCAGAGCCGCGCATACTCACAGTCGACCGGCCCGCGCCATCTCATGTCCATTGCGGACCTGAGCCCTGCCGAGTTCGCTACCCTCGTCCGCAACGCCGCCTCAAACAAGACCGCAGTCAAGTCCGGCAATGTGCCGCAGGCGCTCGCTTCGAGCTTGACCGGCAAGACGGTTGCCATGATGTTTAGCAAGCGCAGTACCCGTACTCGTGTGTCGACGGAAGCTGCCGTGGCTCTCATGGGTGGTCATCCCATGTTCTTGGGCAAGGATGACATCCAGCTCGGGGTACGTTGACTGAAGCTCACATGAGATGGAGTGCACTCAACTGACAGGCTGTCTAGGTCAACGAGTCTCTGTATGACACATCCAAGGTCATCTCTTCCATGACCTCCTGCATGGTCGCCCGTGTCGGTCCTCACTCTGATGTCGCTGGGCTGGCCAAGGACTCGAGCGTCCCCGTCATCAACGCGCTCTCCGACGACTACCACCCTCTGCAGATTATTGCAGACTTCCTGACTATCCACGAGGCCTTCCCTGCCTCTGCCACCTCAGACAAGGCCGATCTGGGCCTGAAAGGAATGAAGGTCGCTTGGATTGGAGACTCCAACAACGTCCTTTTTGACCTGGCCATCGGCTGCGTCAAGATGGGCGTCGATATCTCCGTGGCCTCTCCCACTGGCTACGGCATTCCCGAGGCCATGAAGGCCGTCATCAACTCTGCTGCCAAGGGCGTTGCGTCTCCCGGTAAGCTGACAGAGACGACCGTCCCTGAGGACGCCTGCAAGAATGCCGACATCCTGGTGACCGATACGTGGGTTTCCATGGGCCAGGAGACCGAGACCCAGAAGCGCCTCAAGGCATTTGCCGGCTTCCAGATCACCAACGACCTGGCCAAGCGAGGCGGTGCCAAGGAGGGCTGGAAGTTTATGCACTGCCTGCCTCGTCACCCAGAGGAGGTAGCCGATGAGGTCTTTTACAGCCCTCGTTCCTTGGTCTTCCCCGAGGCCGAGAACCGTCTCTGGGCTGCTGTTTGTAAGTTCAATTCCCATATCTCTCGGCAGACGTCACGATGCTAACAAACTGAACAGCTGCTCTCGAGGGCTTCGTTGTGAACAAGGGCAAGATCTAAATGGGACATGTGTCGGCGTTTAAAGGGCTCACAGCTACAACAAAAGGCGAGGCGTTTCTTTCTCTGGCATGCAAAAAAATGGTACAGATTGTATAGCAACTTGGTAGCATTGAAAAAGATGGCAATACCCCTTTTTTACCAACGCCGGATATTCTTTAATACAAAATAGCTTAACCAGGAGGAAGCTGGCTAGCGTCAACAACCTCATCCGCTTCCTTGATAATCGTCTCCTCGTTGGGTCCGTACAAAGGCGAACGGGGCAGAGCCATCAGACCAGTGCGGGCGGACTCAAGAATACCAAAGGGTCCGATGAGCTTCAGGAAGGAGTCGATTCTGGACGGCTTGGCAGAGCTGCGCAATTGTCAGTACATACTTTCTTTTCGGCTTCCGTCGGCTGAGGAGTAGAGCAGACTTACACTTCCACAATGCAGCTGTTGGTGCTGATATCCAGAACCTTTCCTCCGAACTGGTGGGCGAAGTAGGTGATGGACTTGAGATGCTCGTGCTTGTGGCGCAATGCCTGACTGACAGCCAACTTGCTGGGGTGGAAGTCCTTGGCGACATCCTCCAGAGTCTGCTGCTGCTCTCCCTCAAGCGCATGCTCCTCGACATCGACGGCCGTCATCTCACGGTGGTGAGCGAGCAGCTCCTCAAAGTACTCGGGTCCAAGGATGTTGATCTTGGCCAGCAGAAGCTCGCGCTGAACCAGGGCGGCGTTGGTGTAGTCCAACACGGCCCAGACGGGGACGAGATCCTCCAATTGGCGCCTGGCCTGCTCGACAACACCATCCTGTCCGGTCAGGACGATGGTCATGCGCGAGAGGTCATCGACCTCGGTGCTGCACACGACGAGGGAGTCGATGTTGAAGCCGCGGGCCGCGAGAATTCCGGAGACACGGGACAAGACACCGGGCTCGTTCTGAACCAGGCAGTTGAGGATGTGACGCTTCGGGGGTTGCGACGACGGGGAAGGCATGTCGTAGAGGATGTTAGAGACGGCGGCCTGGGCGGACCAGGCGGGCGGGCTGTCGCTGACGGGCAGAGGCGCCGAGCGACGTCGAAGAGCCTTGTAGGCGATGGCAGAGGTCGAGCTGGTGGTCGAGCTCCATCGTGCGGCGGTGGAGAGCGATGTCGCTTGAGCCGGGGCGGCGGCGGCCCGCCAGAGCGAGGTCGAAAGGAGGCGACGAGACGCCATCTTTCCAGGTTCAAGTTCGCGAGAACAAGCCAATTGCTCTCTTTTTGGACCAGAGGAAAGAGGAAATCTCAAGAGAACCTTGGAGTAGTGTGAGCTTCCGAGGTTCAATGGCTTGGGGGAGATAAGAAAGAAGCACCCTGACTCACCGTCTGTGTCAGTTCCCACTGGGAAAATTTGAGGAGATTGGGGGACGATTTCTTCGGAGGCAAGTCGGAGGCGCGGAGGCAGGGGAGCTGGCCGTTCGCAGGGGTAAAAGGGCACGGATCAGCTACTGACAAGGGTTTTTCACCGAGAGAGTGGACTCCCAACTGACACTGCATCGCGGGGTCGGCTTGGAGGGTGCGGGGCTACACCCGGCACTGTGTCACTTGCTGACCTGTAGCAGCATTTCCAAAGTAATCACCACGTTTTCATGATATAGAAAGATGGGATCGGGATGGGAGAAAGGCCATTGCTTTTTGTCCAGTAGTAGAATTTAATGTAGTAAGTAGCCAACATAGGCTCAAGTGAGGACATCTTAAGCTCATGGATGATTTGAAAGGGACCAAGGTTTTGGGTACTGAATTGATTCGTTACTGGGCAACCGTTTAAATGGCATCTGGCAGTCAATCTGAGTTCTAACACCTACTCACTCTCAGTATCATGCATAGGTAGTAGACCTACTTATCCAGGCACCTTGACTCATGTTCGGTAACTTGGAACTGATAGACTTTGCAACATAATTCAGTCTGCAACTCAACTACATCTAGTGCCAAGAGAGACCAGGTACCAACTCAGCGTTTACAACGTTGCCGCCTTTCATTTTCGGGTTGATTGTTGTTAGTAAGTCAAGATTTGAACTACAGATAGGCAATGCAAGACATCTTTACTCGTCGAAACACTCAAGAGACTGTAGGCTTTGAGATCTAGATATTCCATGCCAAGGTCGCTGAGCCGAAGAAAATCAGAACAGTAAAAATACCAATTATGAGCGGTCGCTTGAAGAGAAATAGGTAGAGCGTCAAGCGTGAGGATGGTCCCGTTGGCCGCATTCTCCATTCCTGCCGATAATCGCTCTGATGCTACCATGTGGCTGGTGCAGACTAAAAACAGCAGCTACGTCTGACACCTGAGGCGCTAAATCCGTGACGGCCAGGCCCATCACCGCCCGTGGGAACGACCGTCGACAAAGTCGTCTTGCCGCACGGGCCAAGCCACTTTATTTTGGCCCGTCCGTCTCTCCAAGGCTCCACCTCCAAAGAGCTTCATACCTCGTAAATTTTACTATCCCAATCTTTTACTTCCCTCATATCGATCGCCAGGCGCTTGCGCATTGCTCAGACGCACGCCGAACGCGATAACTGACAACGAGCGACTGTATTTTCAGCATCACTGCATTCCAGACGTCGCAATGGACGACACCGAGCGACGATCCGCCAAGCGGTCGCGATTCGACCAAACCGAGCCCGAGCCTCGCAAGGCTTCGAGATTCGACCGCCGCTCCAGATCGCCGCCAGGAAGACGCTCGGAGTCGGCAAGAGAGCGTAGCCCTCTGCCCAATGACCAGGCAACAGAACCGAAGAAGTCGCCAGTAGATGCCGCTGCTGCGGCTGGTACGGGTTGCGCTCCGCTTTGGCTGTAGAAAACATGGCTAATAGACTCACAGCTGCCGCGGCCGCGCGAATCAACGCGCAACTCCAGGCGAAGAAGGGCATTCAGCATGTCGACGTTCCTCCGATCAAGACCGCCACTTCTCCTACAGGTGGTGCCCAATCGCCCGACCCGGCCAATACGATCAATGGAGAGATGTACATCGCCGACGGTGACTTCATCAAAGACATTGAAGTCAACGACCTTCGTAACCGATACCTCCTGACCAAGGGGTCGACTCAGAAGATGGTAAATACTCCTGTGCAAAACCACTGATCATATATCCTTCCCAGGCCTCATCTCGAGCGCATTCCGCTTTCCTACATATAAACAGATTTGTGTCGAGATCATCCTGCTTACTTGGCACGATAGCTCGCACAGATCACCCCTCTTTGGCACCTGCTGACTCCATTTACTTGATTTAGATTAAAGAAGAAACTGGTGCTGGTACGATACACCTCCCACTCTTACGTCTAATTAGGAACAAAGGTTGACTTTGCAAGATGTTACTACCCGAGGAAACTACTATCCCGACAAGAGCATGGCGACTGCGGCGGTATGTCAGCTTCGAAAACTATGGTTTAGTAACACACACTAACTCTCTCCCTAGAATCCGCCTTTGTACTTGCATGTCACCAGTACATCCAAGACTGGACTTGAGCAGGCCGTGACAAAGATTGAGGAACTCATGAAACAGGAACTTCCCGCGCTGGTAGATGAGCGTCGTTTCCGTCGACGTGACCAGGAGCAGGTTGAGAGAGACGAATATGGCCGAGTATGTATGAAAATCAGTCTCGAGAAGTTGTTTCTGACATATTACAGCGCAAATGGCCCGAAGAGAAGATCCCCATTGGTTTGGAGTCCGTCCCCGGATTCAACCTCCGCGCTCAAGTTGTTGGCCATGGCGGTGCCTACGTCAAGCACATCCAGCAGGAGACTCAGTGTCGCGTCCAGATCAAAGGACGTGGTTCCGGGTATCTGGAGGCAGCCACCAATCGCGAGAGCGATGAGGACATGTATCTTCACGTCGCGTAAGTGCATTGTGACCTTACCAACGTTAACGCATAGGTACTGACTCTGAATAGCGGACCTGACCCTAAGATGGTCGAGAAGGCCAAGGAGCTTTGCGAGGATCTGATTGCAAATGTCAAGGAGCAGTACGAAGAGTTCAAGAGCAGACCTCCTCGTAGTTATGGTGACCGCGGGGGCTACGGCGACCGCTCGCGGGGGCACGATGGCGGCCATGGCGGATATGGAGGCCACGGTCACGGTGGTGATCGCGGCGACCGCGGCGGCTATAACTCCGGATACGGAGGCCACGGCGGCCATGGTGGTCACGGTGGTCACGGCGGCGGCGGCGGCTATGGCGGTCACAACTCTGGGCAATCAGCAAGCCCTGCTCCTGCCGGCGGTTCTAACAGCCCTGCCGCCGGAGCCGACTACGCCGCACAGTACGCACAGTACTATGGCAGTCAGGATCCTTACGCTGCCTATGGCGGATACGCCGCCTACGTTCAAATGTACCAGCAGTACTATGCTGCTGCGCAAGCACAGCAGCAAGGCTCGCCCGCGCCCCCGGGAGCAGCGGCATCCCCTCCGCCCCCGCCTCCCAGCGAGGCTGCTCCTCCTCCACCTCCTCCGAGCTCTGCCCCCCCTCCCCCTCCCTCAGGCGCGCCTCCGGGCACCGGAGGAGGTTACGGTGCTGTAAGTACCATTACTTCAATGTTGACTGAGAGGATTTTGCTAATACAGATGATAGGTACCTCCCCCTCCCGGCCTCTAGAGAAGATACTTTAGAAAAGAGAAACGGGTCTAAGGTCATAATCATAGTCAAAATTGCAAATCCTCGAAGTGGTGGAGAGAAGCATCAAAGGCGTACTACCCTAGTATGTCGCTTTGTGCAGCAGATGGTCCCTGGGACGTTAAAGGAGGTACGGATGAAGTTGTATATGACTCAACAGACATAGTAATATTACCACAATACAACATACATGACGTGGATGTACATTTAATCTGCCTCGTGATATCAGTTCTGCCGAGTTGTTCCTTTACTCGTTAGTGCATGGGCTGATAGTATCACTGACTTGCCAGGGCATGGCAGAGATACATGTAAAATATTCTACTTTTGATTTTCTGCTATGTTAAGCTTTGTATCGTTTCTCATGGGAATAGCTGTGGGGAAGTAATCTTGCTTTCGAGAATGAATTTAGCAAAACTTGATGCGAGCTACAAGGCATAGAAAGGGGTGTGGGAAAGCATCATATTTGACTTCCACAAACAACAGCTCACACTGCCTAGGGAAGGACAAAAAAGGAAGGAAGGGCAGATGATAAAAGGGCTGATGATAACTTACTCGATACTTCACGCCCCTATCCGGGATCGAACAGCGCGCCCCTCCGACCACCACCGGCTTCATTGGGGTATTTCGTTTAATCTCGACTCTGCGTCATAGTCGAACCCACTCAGCCAATCGACCGGAGGGTGGTGGTGACAGGAACGACGTTGCGATGGGATATATACGCTGCGTCTCCCCCTGGTAAGGTAGGTTGAGGATGGAGAGATGTAGCGGGAGGTAGGAGCGATATAGACGCACACTACTTTGCACATGAACCACGGCACGTAGCGAAAGTGTTTCTAAAAAACATAAGCCAAAAGCCCTTTCAGGTGATTAGATTTGCCAACGACACGATGATCTAGTGGAGATCTCTCATTACGGCCAGAACTGGGGTGTGGTCAGGCCACACGGGCTGGCAAAAGGAATGACTCTAGCTAGAGCGCTCGATGAGGTAATCTCTGTGGGCTGAAATAAATTACTCGAGGGTTATCTTCGAACCAAGGACTGGCATCCCATTGGAAGACAGATTCTCCGACTGTAGTTGTGGGCATGAAGTGGACAATACTTCATGCAAACATTGAATCTATGAAGGGGAAAAGGTATGAAGGAGGTGTTGTCAGGCTTATTCTCTCCTGGGCACTGCACTAGAAGCCATCCTCCCCAGACATCTCGGTCTGGTTTTGATCGCTCTAGGCTGCCTTTTTGTCCAGTCACTTGTGCCGTGGTACCTCTCTCCGATATTATTGGAAAGATATCCTCTACTCCGCCTCCAAAGAAGTACGGGACATTGCGGAAACATCTTACCATCCGAGAGCAACCGTTCCAGCTCACTCGCCGTATCTCCCATGCCCAGGCTTGGCGGAGGTCTGATATCATGCCTCTTGTGCTGGCAAATGCTATTGTAACCTGCCATCGTGCTACTCACGAGGGAATAATGTGGGCGTGGATCTCAGTGGAAACCGACACGGATCTCAAATATGGTTTATGGTCCAAGTTTACCGCTTAAAACCTATCACGATAAGGTAGTCTTCCATACGAAGATGATATGCTGATGCCTCCAAACGGTTTCATCCTCCAAAAACTAACCAACACACCAGAAATCTCCCAAATCTTCCACCTTGCCCTCATTGTAGACCATCCTATCGATCTTAATATCTATAGCATAGATAGGCCAGCATCGTTATTGAATGTCCATGTATACCAAGACAAACTAAAACAAGGGCGGATGAATGTAGTGATGGGTGATGGCGTGGTTTCATTTTCTGCGACCAAGAGTGGAATGGTGCTACCAATATCCCCTTACAAATGACAGAGGGAAACCTGTAAAACTCCTAACTTGACCTCTGCAACCAAATTGTTAACCTACAAATCGGAATGAGATTATCGTGTCGTTAACAAAGCTGATCACCTGAAAGGATTTTGGCCCATGGGTTTAGAACCACTTCCGCTATGAGCTACTCCTTCACTCTAGACTGGAACAAAACTTTGGATGATAATTCATCCACAGTGCGCGGATCCGTCCGCCCTCCGTGGACCTCGAAACCGGAACCCCGGGTGGGGCCATGGCATGCGGGGGAGAGCTCCGCCCGCCGGCCTGGGTCTTTCCACGCATCCACTGTCTTATCGATAAAAGACATTCCGGGACCCACCACAGCTAAGGTAAGGTAAGACCCCCAATCGTCATTTCGTCCCACCAGCCCATCTCTCCAAAGATCTCTCACCTCTCCGTATCTCCAATTACCATATCTCGTCCCGCGGCGCATCCCCCGCTACCCGAGCCCGACGACACTTGAGTCCCTCCAAGCACTCACCCTCTCCCCATCGACCAGCGAGACGCGGATACGGCAATAATGAGCCATCAAAGATATCCGTCACACGATCCCCTAAAGGAGCCTCACTCCGTTTCCTTGAAAGTCCTCAGGTACCAGAGATCCCGACTTACACGCGGCTGAGCGCCTCGTCCTCTTACACGTCACCCCTCAACTACCATACCCAAGCAAAGAGATATAACTATCTAACGCGGAAACATAAACCAATAGACTATCCCGCCCTTCCCTCGTAATACAACACCCGATCCGGCCCCCGCTGACGCCCTCAAACCTCCCCGCGGACCCGACCCCGGCCTCCCTCGCCTACGACACAACCGCCTCAACCAATCCCTCCCCCTTTCTCCTCTCCCCAATCCTCAACCTCCCGCTGAGCTTCGGCTCAGCCTACGTAGGCGAAACCTTCAGCTGCACCCTCTGCGCAAACCACGATGTACCTGAGCTCGTAGCAGCAGTCCCTGGAGGAGGAGGACCCCTCGGCGCCACCGGTGCACCACCAGCAGCGGCATCCGCAGCCCCGGTAAAGCGCAAGAGCATCCGCGACGTCCGCATCGAAGCGGAAATGAAGACCCCCGGCGCAAACTCGATCCAGAAGCTCGATCTCTCCCCACCAGACTCCACGGATAACGGCGGCGGCGGCGACGACGACCTAAAGGGAACGGACCTCGAGGCCGGCGACACCCTCCAGCGCATCGTAAACTTTGATCTCAAAGAGGAAGGCAACCACGTCCTCGCCGTGACGGTGAGCTACTACGAAGCCACCGAGACCTCGGGCAAGACGCGCACCTTTCGGAAGCTGTACCAGTTCATCTGCAAGTCCTCGCTCATCGTCCGCACGAAAATCGGCCCGCTTGCTCCGGCCGGCGGCGGCGGCGGCCGTCGGCGGTGGGTCATGGAGGCCCAGCTGGAGAACTGCTCCGAGGACGTGATCCAGCTCGAAAAGGTGGTGCTGGACCTCGCGGACGGGTTGGGCTACACGGACTGCAACTGGGAGACGGGCGGCGGTGGCGCGCGGCCGGTGCTGCACCCGGGCGAGGTCGAGCAGGTGTGCTTCGTGGTGGAGGAGGCCGAGGGGACGAGGGCGCAGCCGGGCGAGGACGGGAGGATCATGTTTGGGGTTCTCGGGATCGGGTGGAGGGGCGAGATGGGGAATAGGGGGTTTCTTTCCACGGGCAAGCTGGGCACGCGACACGTGGCGTGAGCGAGGGAGGTCTACTACTCAAGTCTCACGCAAAAGGAAAAAAGTCGAGACCAGCAAAACAACAGTTGAGGCGTTCGTCGAAGAGGGGGTGGAAGCAATTGGCGAGGACAGCCTCCTTGGCGACGGTGACAGCTGAGGAACGCGACGCAGAGCGCTCAAGGCGTTGGTTCCTATCCCCCAGATTCAGCCCAGTGTCAGACCACAACATCTCCACCATCTGAGGATTGGTATACACGCACTACGCCTTGGGAAGAGCCGTGCTGATGGCTGGAGATCCCATCAAAAAAAAATACAAGGGAACTAAATTACGGAAGCTGGATCGGGTCCCCCCGCACGGTCGGGGCGTTGAGCCGTGTTTCCGGGGCAAACGCCGCATCACGATGAGAGAGAGGAGGAGGGGGACCATCCTTCGCATCCTAGAGGTGCGCGGTGCTTGTTGTTGGACCTCTCACGCCTCTCTACGTTGAAGGAAGGGGGAAAGGCGCATCAGTGCTCAGGAGAAGGCATCTTGGCATGCCACCAGCCGAGATGAACTTCGTTGAAGATAGCTACCTTAGAGTGAGATTTCCATAGGCCGTGGCGTTCACGACGCTCGGATGCGCCGCTAAACCTGCACCAACATGTCACATTATCTTAAGAGATGTGTAGTTATTGAAAAGTCCCCTTCAACAGGCAATCCTTTCTTCCCCATTCCCCACCAGGTGGCTGACCTTTTGACACCTTCAGATCTCAGCGGGTTCAAATCTCAGATCTCGAAACTCTAAAGAACGTCCTGAGACTATTGCACGAACGGCTCTTAGCGCCCTCTGCCTACAAGATTCGTTTGCTTACCCTCGTACCCTTCGGCCCTTTTTCCCGCTGGAAATGGCTAAATAAAAGGGGTCACGGAGGCAAACCGTGGTCACAGCGCCCATTCCTTCCTGCTCATTTTCATTACGACTTACGAGCCTCTCTTTTTCCATATTACATACCACCTACTGTTGTGGTACTCCGAGTGACAGAGCTCCCTAACTTGCCAAGGCAAGGACCGCAGGAGGACACGAGCAGCAGAAGCATGAGCAGCAGTGAAAGTGCCATGCGGCTTTGGTTGCTCTGCGTATTTCCTTTCGTGTCTCCCGTCCGAAACAGGAACCTGGTTCTGTAGTTCTGCAGTCCTGCAGTCGCATTGCATGGGATCGACAAGTGGCTTCACCACATTTGAGCGGTTCCCCTTGCCATGGCTAGGCCGCTGTTGAGGATTGATTACGGTTGGTATTTGCCGGAATGAGACGACCATCTCGTTTGGGTAGCTTGCAGCGAAAAAACCGAATTACAGTAGACACGTTGGGCTTTCAGCTTCTCCAAAAAGTCCAACCCAACACTGGGGTTTCTGCAAGGAGTGCGTCGTCATGTCATAAGCGGCGGCTTCGTGGACGTAATTT